TATTACAGGATATATATCTTCTATAATATATATATTAAGGGACCATAGTCCCTTCTGCCTGATTCAACAACAAAAATCCTTAACTTATACCATTAACCTTTTCACTGAAATCTGCATCTCCTATAAGGAGCCTCTAGCCCTATAGCTCTCAAGTAGAAACTTCTGATACTCTGCATACTCACAAGCAGGAAGGGTCAAGTCCTTCCTCTGCAATGCCACCACACAATTATTTCTGTATCATCTTGTAAAAATCTCTGCTCATCTGGCTATTATTCCACCCATTCCACTACTAACTGTAGGCACCTAGTGACTTCAGGGACACCCTCTCCTTCATTCACTGAACAGCAGGGCACCTAATTCAAAGTCTTCTCTCCAACTCCTACCGTCATCACTCTTTAACACCGATAAAGACCAACCACCCAACATTTTAATGAGTTTTTAATTCCTTAACTTTCAATGACCTGTGGTCTATTCCACCTCAATCACCAACTTCTACACATAGTTACACACTCCCTGGACTTTTCTTAGTAGCACTGTAAACAGCTCTGCCTCCCAAATCTCTAATTTACATATTACTCCCTGACCATTACCCCTGTCTAGCTGGTATGCTTAAGTTCTTCCTACCAAGCCTTTTGTGAGGGGGACGGGGTAAGGAAGAAGATCGTTCCATGTACACCCTCCTATCTTCACGTCTCTCTCTCTCTCAAATATTGATTCCATGTCCGTGTACATCATTTCAATTACTTTCTTGTCAACACTCTCAATTTTTATGCCCTTTTGTCAAACTCATCTAGTATGACCTAGCCCTGGAGCAATGTATTGCCTGCTTTCTCTGGATCTGCGCCAGTGTGGCTGAGCACAAGCTGCAGTTGGGAGGAGGTGCCGTTACATAACCAGGTGGATCAGAACCGCTTATACCTTCATCCCTGACCAGCAACCCCACTACATTTCTGGAGTCTAAATTTCCCTTTACCCGTGTTTTCACAGTTATTTCCAATGTTTAAATACTCTTCCTCCATGTTCTCTCCCTCATCTCTGAATAATAATACTTTATATTGCAGAGAAAATGAAAATCATTAAATGAGAACTACCTTCATTATCTCACTATAAAATCTACGACTCTTTCTGCGGCTATCATTTATTCCTTACTTTGTTTTACAATGAGTGTGACCCTCCTCCTATCTAAGGCCAAGCCCACCACATAAGCCTGGGATTCCAGGCCTTTCAGTGTTCTCTGGACAATACTCCCTCTCTATTAGCTAGTAACCAGTATACTCAAGTCTCTCTCATTTTAAAAAACCTTTCCTTAGACAATTTTCCAAAGAGGACATTCAGAGGGCCAACAGGCACATGAAAAGATGCTCAACATCATTAATCATCAGAGAAATACAAATCAAAACCACAATGAGACATAATCTTACACCTGTCAAAATGGCTATCATCAAAAAGAACACAAATAACAAATGTTGGTGAGGGCGTGGAGAAAAGGGAACCCTCATGCACTGTTGCTGGAAATGTAAATTGTTGCTGCCACTGTGGAAAACAGTATGGAGAATTCTCAAAAAACTATGAGAAACCACATGATCCAGCAATTCCACTCCAGGGTATGTATATGGAAAAAACAAGAACACTAATTCAAAAAGATATATGCACCCCAATGTTCATAGCAGCACTAGTTACAATAGCCAAGACCTAACTGGTCAACAGATGAATGGATAAAGAAGTTATGCTATATATATATATATATATATATATATATATATATATATATATATATATATATATACACAATGGACTATTATTCATCCATAAAGAAGAATGAAATTCTGCCATTTGCAACAACATGGATGAGTATAATGCTTAGTGAAATAAGTCAGACACAGAAAAATACTCTATGTTATCACTTTTATATGAAATCTAGAAGATGAACCAAATTAGTAAATATAATAAAAAAGAAACAGACTCACAGATATAGAAAACAAACTAGTGGTTACAAGTTGGGAGAGGGAAGGGGGGAAGGGTTAGATAGGGGTAGGGGATTAAGAGGTACAAACTATTATGCATAAAATAAGTAAGCTACGACGACATACAACACAGGGAACATAGCCAATATTTTATAATAACTATAAATGGAGTATACCCTTTAAAAATTGTGAATCACTATGTTGTACACCTGTAACATATAAATATTGCACATCAATTATACTTTAGCAAATAAATAAGATAAAAACCCTTTCCTTAACAAATAATTAGATCCTTCCCTTTTCTGCTGTTTCCCTTCTCAATAAAGGACACAACCATCCACTTGGTGGTTAAAGACAAGAATCTCAAAGTTGTTCTTGACATCTCCCTCTGTCTTACATCCCATATTCAATTGCCAAGTTCTATTCAGTCTACCTCCTAAAAATCACTCTTCTATTCATACTACCAACTAATCCAGGTCAGTTCCACTGATCACTTGGACCAATGCACTAACCAACTAATAAGTAGATCCATACTTTGGATGCCCCCAATTCAATCTGCAGAGAAGCCAAAGAGATCTTTTTTTAACATTAAACATGATCTTTTAAAAATGCAAACCTGATCCTATTACCTACTTAAATATCCCTCACTGACTTGCAATTACTCTTGGAATAAAGACGGAAACCCTTCATTAGTCCTAAAAGATCCAACATGATCTGACTCACACCCACCATTTCAAGCATGGTTTTTGAGCCACTTTCCCCTCCAGCCTTTCTTTCTATGATGCTTCAGGACATTCCACATGCTGTGGTCCTTACTACAACCCCTTGAGGTATTAATTAGTTGAGAAAGACTTCAATAAAATAGAAATAAATTATTCTTGACAAGTGGTAAGAAAGTCTTTTTTTCTTCTTCTAATGGATCTAGGCAATGATCAGCAAAGGCTGCTAATACAATTAAATGAAAGGCTGGTGGGGAAACTATCAATATAATGAATGGATGAGACTGATAAAACTTGAACTCATGGATCAATCTTAGGAGCACTAAAAATGGGACACAGCCAGACCTGCAATAAGTAATGAGCATCATGTGTTTTAGCACCACTTGCCAAGAAAACTGAACCTGAATATAATTAAGCTCTAGATCAGTACTGCTTAATTCAGTAACCACTACACACATGTGGCAATTCAGCGATTAAAATGTGGCTGGTCTTTAATGAACCACATACCCAAAGCCACATCACTATTAAGTTGTGGAGCTGGAATTTGAACAGATAGTCTGACTTCCGAGTCCATGCCATTATTAGTGATTTATACCCAGAGGTGAAGGTTCAGAAAAAAAAAAAATGTGGCTGGTCTAAACTGAGATGTGCTATAAGTATAAAACACACACCAATTTCAAAGCCTTAGTATGGAAAAAAGAATGTAAAATATTTCATTAAGATTTTTACAATTTGATTATATGCTGAAGTGATACATTTTGGAAAGTTAGAGAAAACATATTATTAAAATTAACTTCCCCTACTGCTTTTTAAAAAACTGGGTCTACTAGAAAATCTTAAATTATATATGTGGCTCCCATTATATTTCTTTTGAACAATGTGGCTCTTATTCCAACCAGAAGTTTACAGGAAATATAGATAAAAAATAACACCATGGGGATACAATCAGATAAAAACACATATAACTTCAGGAAATTCTAAACACAGTTTATGGGTGAAATGATGTCCTACTTGGAATTTAGAAAGAAAGGGAGGGGTGGAGGAGGGAAGGAGAAAAGGACGAAGGAAGAGTAAAATAAACATAGATGAAACTAAAACAACAGAATGTAGATTGCTACTGCTGCTGAAGTTGGAAGGTAGCTACATTATTCTCCCTACTTTTATACGTGTTTGTTAAGTATCCCTAAAAAAAAGTTAACCCAAAACCCACAGCTAAATCCTATTCTTTTTTCAGGCCCAAGCTTAACTGTTACTTCTTCAGGGAACCTTTCCCCTGACCTAGCTCTCTTACTGTAACCAATACTTTCCTTTGCAACACACTCAGTAAAATGTGTTATTTTATTGTCAAATGTATATAACCCTTGTTAGACCAAATGCTACCCTGTTAACAAAAACCTTAGGCCTCAGACACTAGTTAAATATCTTTCTAAATTCCATTAGTAATGCCTCTCTTCTACTTAGAATGACAGAGAATGAATTAGTGACCCACTACTGTCCATTAGAAAAACTCCATATTCTTAGTCTGGCGTTTAAGACTACCCATAACCTGAGCTCTAATCTTATTTTCTGCTTTATCTTCCACAACACCTCTAAAGCTCCTCACTTGGTCAAATTGTACCATTAAAACTTTTTTCCCAAACATGTCATTATGGGCTGAACTGTGTCACCCCAAAATTCTCATGTTGAAGTCCTAACTCCCGGGATTTCAAAGTGTGACTGTATTTGCAGATATGGCCTTTAAAGAAGTAATTAAGTCAAACTTAAGTAATTAAACTAGGGTGGGCTCTAATCTAATATGAGTGGTGTCCTTAAGAGACAAGAACATTTAGATACAGATTCACACAGAAGGAAGTCTATGTGAAGATACCGGGAGAAGACAGCCATCTACGAGTCAAGAAGAGAGGCCTCAGAGGAATCCTATCCTGGCTACACACTGATCTCAGATCTCTGGCCTCCAGAATCCTGAAAAAAAAAATTTTTTTCCTGTTGTTTAAGCCAGGGGTCCCCAATCCCCGGGACATGGACCAGTATTGGTCCACAGCCTGTTAGGAACAGGGACCGCACGGCAGGAGGTGAGCGGCGAGCGAGCGAGTGACTGAAGCATCATCTGCTGCTCCCCATCGCTCCCCATTGCTGGCATTACCACCTGAACCATCCCCCCCACCCGACCCAGTCCATGGAAAAACTGTCTTCCACGAAACTGGTCTCTGGTGCCAAAAGGGTGGGGGACCGCTGGTTTAAGCCGGCCAATCAATGGCATTTTGTTATGGCAGCCCTGGCAAACTAATACACATGCCTTGTGCTTTTGTTCTTGAGCTTTTTTCCACTTCATTATTACCACTAGCAATAATACTGTTATCATGAGTATTGTAAAGTACTTTTTCTAGTTGCTTCACATACATTTTCTCATCTAATCTTCACAACTGTGCATGAATTAGGTATCATCCTCATTTCATTAATGACAAAACAGAACCCCAAGAAGGCTTCATAAATAGCAAAGTGGAAATTCTAATTCAGATTTGACTTTTAATGCCTAGTGTTTTTTAGAAAGTCTTTCTTGCTCATCTCCATTTATAAATTCTACCCATTCTTTAAAGTCATGCTCTTCTTCCATGAAGTCTTCCAAGACACTCATTTGGAAGAATGTTCCCTTTTTCTGAATCTTTATGTCCTCTGACTGAATGATTATGTAAAATCCGTTTTCTTGAGTACTTGCTCTATTTTTAAAAACAAGTTAGATCATTTTCCACTGGGTATCCCATGGAGCTGGATTTTATACTTCTTATATCCCTACATAATAACTAGTGGGATTTGGTAAGTGGTGACTAAATATTTGAGAGATAAGTTGTCCCAAAGCAGAAATGAGAAAAGACAAAAGGACTATTGGGAAAATACATATTAAAAAGTAATAATAATAACTGCAGGGTCAAATTATAGCTATGTAAAATAATTATCATATGAATACTGATGTATCTGTAAGGTTGCCACTACATATATAAGAGCTGCTGAATAACAACAAAAATCTTTGTAATTCCCGAAAATCACAAATACTAAAACGAATGAGTATGGTGTTTTCCCCTGGAACAAGGCTGTTCTTTTCAAAAATTTTTAAAAACTGGTGGCTTTATTCCAAAAACTCTTTATTAGAGAATACTGTAAAGCCCAGTGTATAAAGTCAAGAATCATGCAAAGTTGAGAAAACACCTAAAAACAAACCACCAGCTTTATTCTACTAAGATAACTGATTACGGAGTACTATAAATATCAGCAACATCTTTGACATTTCGTAATTAAACACCTCCAGTTTCAGATTTCTCAGGAAGAAAATGGGGTATAAAAATTAAAATAAATTCTATTCATAGAGCTAGATTACAAATACACAGAAGACCATCATATTTTAATATGAATTTCTAAGAACTTATATAGTAGCACTATATTTGGTAGCACTACCAAACAGAAAATTTTTTCATTTCAATAAAAAGTATTTATATTTTCAATGCCACTCACCCTGTCGGTCAAACAATGAATCAGCAGCTGTGGCTTTATTTGAAGGAGCCTCTGTGATTGGTCTGAGATATGTTCTGTATCCTTTTAAAATGGATGCCATAAAGCGCAAAAATGCCTCCTGAATTTCCATCTCAAGTTGTGTCATCTTTTTTTGCCAGGAGAAATCTGCTTCAATTGGAGTCATCTCAATCGCTGAACCTTCCTGAGTTTTTCGGTGAACTGACGAAGAAAGAAGAGAAAATGGCATTAATACATAATGTTATATATATAATAATTCGACAAGGGAATTGTCAAAATAAAGCCCATGACTTCCTGAAATTCCTCTTTATTAATGTAAAGGGATCATTGGCAGGGGCTAACAGGGAGGCACAGACAGGGCACAGAAAACATGTTAAAAAAAAACCATAAACCATGGGACTTCCCTGGTGGCACAGTGGTTAAGAATCCACCTGCCAATGTAGGGGACACAGGTTCGAGCCCTGGTCTGGGAAGATGCCCCACACTGCAGAGCAACTAAGCCCGTGTTCCACAACTACTGAGCCTGTGCCCTATAGCCCACGTGCCACAACTACTGAAGCCCACGTGCCTAGAGCCCGTGCTCTGCAACAAGAAAAGCCACCGCGATGAGAAGCCCGCACACCGCAATGAAGAGTAGCCCCAGCTAGCTGCAACTAGAGAAAGCCCACGCACAGCAGCGAAGACCCAACACAGCCAAAAATAAATAAAAAACAAAACAGGGGCTTCCCTGGTGGTGCAGTGGTTGAGAGTACGGCTGCCGATGCAGGGGACACGGGTTCGTGCCCCGGTCCGGGAGGATCCTGCATGCCGTGGAGCGGCTGGGCCCGTGAGCCCTGGCTGCTGAGCCTGCGCGTCTGGAGCCTGTGCTCCGCAACGGGAGAGGCCACAACAGTGAGAGGCCCGCGTACCGTAAAAAACCAAACCAAACCAAACCAAACCAAACCAAAAAAACATGAACCACAACAGTAATTTCTTACTATTGGAATTCTGTTTTGTAATGAGACTCCCTTTAAGCAGAGCAAAATTATGTCTAAATTTAAGAATTTTCTTATATACATTCTTTCATTAGAAATATCCCTTCCTGGGAATTCCCTGGCAGTGCAGTGGTTAGGACTCTGTACTCTCACTGCAGAGGGCCCGGGTTCAACCCCTGGTTGGGGAACTAAGATCCCACAAGACATGCAGCATGGCAAAAAACAAACAAACAAACAAAAAATCCCTTCCTTTTTCCTCACATTTACCCGAAGATAGCTGGGGATACAATTTCTTCAAGGTGCTAATCAGATTTTTGCATGGCTTTTTGGGAAGCTGCTTCCAGTTCATGTTCTTCTTTTCATCTGATCTATTAAATAACATGATTAATAAAGTCCGTTATAATCTGTTTTTACTTAAACAAAATTCTTATGTCAAACTAAAAAAGAAAATGGAAAGGGTATTTTTACTGAAGTTACAATTTGAGAATCTGAACAAGTGGTTTTCAAGAAGTTCTCTTTTCATTTTAACCAACCTCAGTCAAATTTGGTCATCTCATTCTAACCCTCCAACACAGATTTTCATTAACTGGAGTTATGAATACAACACAAGTCTTGTTTCAAAGTTACATTTTAGAATTATAATATTTTAAGTGTGAAACTTAATTGACTTGAGACTTCAAACTACCTATTAGAAGCAAATCTCCACAAATATCAGAGTCAGTAGCATACAGAGCATGTTCTCACCACAATTCAAACGAGTCACCATTTAAGAAAAAGAAATTACTTTGGAAGTTCAAAAGAACACTTTTAAATAATGCATGAGTCAAATAAAATATTTTTACAGAATTAGAAACGTTTAAAACGTTACAAAGATGAAAGCACTATGTACCAACCATGGGCTGGAGCTAATGTCAGGCCAATATCACTTATGAACATCAATGCTAGCATTTTAAATTCTTAGAGAATTTTATCTACTAGCACATTTAAAAAAAAGAGAGAGAAAGATGTTTACTTTAGGAATGCAGGGTTGTTTACTACTAACTGATTTTATAATGTAATTTACCACACTAAGATTAAAGGAGAAAAACTTAATACTCATCTAAATAGTTGTATAAAAGCTTTATGAAGTTCACCAGCTATTTATGATTTTAAAAGAGAAATTACTTTTAATCTAGAAGTGGAAGGAAGGTTCCTTAATTTATTATTAAGCAATCAAAACCCTAAAGTGGGGCTAGCACACCTTTTCTATAAAGAATCAGATAGTAAGTATTTTTTGCTTTGAGGACCACAGGACCTCTGTTACAACTACTCAAATATGCCACTGTAGCATGAAATCAGCCTCAGACCACATGTAATTGAATCAGCATGGCTATGATACAATAAAATTTTATTTACAAAAACAGGCCTTGGGCCAGATGTCAATTCTTGCTTTAAAGCATAAAGATACTTAATGATGAACTGCTCAAACCATTCCCTTTGAAATTAGGAACAAGACAAGATACCAGTTATGAATATTTCTATTCAATATTACACTAGGATCCTAGCCAGAGAATTAAGACAAGAAATTCTTAAATATATAAGGATTGTAGAGGGTATGATTGTTTATAGCTAGAAAACTGAAGAGAATCTACAAGCAAATGAAAATAAGAGAATTCAAGTAAGTTGCTGGACAGCAGACCACTACATAAAAAATCAATAGCATAGTTATACTCCAGCAACTAACAAATAAAAAATGTAATTAAAATACCACTTACAGTAGCAATAAAAACCATAGGTACTTAGGAATAAGTAAGTTTAACAAAAGGTGGGCCCGATCTTTACAGAGAAAACTGAAACAGTTATTGAAAAACCTTTAAAAACACCTATGAAGTAAAATACAACATTCACGGGTACTGAGACTCTATGTCAAAATGATCTTATTTGCCCCCAAATTAATCTATGAATTCAATAGAATTCTAACAAAAAATCACAACAAAATTTTGCATGGAATTTAAAAAACTAATTAAAAATTTTATGAAAAAGCAAAAGACCAAATATAGTCAAAACAATTTTAAAGAATAAGCAGTAAAGAGACTTGCCATTTCACATCACTTTTTTTTAAACAATGTTATTGAGATATAACTCACATACCATACAATTCATTCATCTGAAGTGTGCAATTTGATGGTTTTCAGTATATTCAGAGTTGTTTTAACAACCACCACAATTAATTTTAGAGTATTTTCATCACCTCAAAAAGAAACCCCACACCCTCTTAGTCACTAACCCACAATTCCCCCATCCTCCCATCCCAAAGTAACCACTAATCTATTTTCTGTGTCTACAGATTTGCCTTGGGCATTTCAAATAAATGGGATCATATAAGGTCTTTTAGCATGAGGTTTTCAAGGTTCATCCATGTTGTAGACAACTTAATTTTCAAGTCATTAAGATAATCTGATGCTGGCAAGAGACTAAAACAAACCAAAGGAACAGGAAATAAGCCTGGATACATACCCACACAAATATAAAAACTGATATGTGATGCTATTGACACTGAAGAAGGTGGGGAAGAGATGAACTGACCATTCAATAAACAGTGCTATGTGACATCTGTTTACTCATGTTAAAAAAAAACCAAAATGGTATCTCTATGTCTCATCATACACTAATAATACCAAGTTTAGCTAAATTAAAGGCCTAAATGAGAAAGTCAAAACCTCACAACTTTAAGAATATCCAGGATAATATTTCATGACCTCAAGGCAGAGGATTTCACGTACAAGAACCAAAAATGGCAATCCATAAAGAGAAACTGAGAACTGTGATCAATTAATATGTTTCTGTTCATCAAAAGACACAACAGAATGAAAATACAAATCACAGTGTGGCACAAGCTATTTGCAATGCATATAACAGACTAAGAATTACTTCCAGGTTATATAAAGGCCTTATACAAATCAAAAGAAAAAGACAAACAACCCAACAGGAAAATGTACCAAAAAAGGAGGGAAAAACCAAAGGGCAAAAAGAAATTAAAACGCCTCATTTGCTACTAATTAGGGAAATGTGAATTAAAGCCACACTGACATCCCGTTACCATCAAGTTGGCAAAAATTTGAAAGTCTGACCATAACAAGCACTGACAATGATATGGAACAAAGAGAACTTTCGTTTGCTGATGAAGAGGGGAAA